ATCCGATATCTCTGCTCTACATGTCATTCTATGCCAGAGAACGCGTCGACTGAATTTCCCGAGAAACCCAGTCATGACGTCGTGACCTGCTTCTGAATCTGTCCAATTCTGTCCAACTAAGTTCCACGGTTATCATTCCCTAAATTTATCCCGCGCAGCCCTCCGCAGCCAAAGGCAAAAAAAACGAGCGAAAGGAATGGAGGAAGGCCAAGGTAGTCTCGTTTCTAGACAGTGAATCGCCAACGCTCGCGGCGCTCGCGGGAGCCACAGAATCCTATCCGGAGATATCAGAACCTCGGGAGGCAGTTTTTATGAAAATTTGATGGCGATTCACTGCCAGGGCAGTGAATCGGGCACTATGTCTGTGGACGGGCGGAATTCAACAAAGAGAGAGAGAGATTCGAGGATCTACATCAGAGTATTTGTGCAAGCAAAAGTTACCGTAACCCCCGCTATCGTGTTCGGTGATCCCCCGAATATGCAGTCTCTACCCTCTATTTAACAACGCTTGTACGGTTAATCAAAGGTGCGTCGAATCGAGCGCGAGGGTAGATTCCTTCAGGAACAGCATGCCCGCGGTCTTTTTGTCCGATGTCGTGCAGATATTTAAGGGTTTCTGTGGCAGTGGGATAGACATAGAAATTAGGATGGATTACACGTCTGCGGACGCTGGAGGTGCCACTGGGGGAACTGGGGCCGAGAAGCCGTGCCGATTCAGCTCACGTAAGCATATTCCCGCTCACTTAAATGCCACCATGAGTTCCTCCTCAGCCTCTCTGCGAGGCCTCTACAGCGACCCTTCCTCTGCCTGGTCCTTTGTACAGTCCCTTCCCCCTGCGGCAGCAAACTCAACATCTACCGCCCAGTCTCCCTCCCCATACCAATGGTCGTCCCGGCCGTCCCACAATTCCATATTTGACCTCTCACCGGAACTCGCCGACCCATCCGATGGAATTGACCCCATAAATCTCCTCAAGACCGTGGCTGCATCCGTAATCTTGCAATACACCAGTAGTGCTATTGCAATGCCATGGGAGGTCGCCAAATTGCTGCTCCAGGTCCAATGGGTCCCTCGGGATGCGGGTGATCTCGAACCCTCGGACGTCCCAGAAGAAGACGACGACGCAGTGTGTGCATTTTATACGACATCCGGTGCTCCCGCTTCTCACTTCTCTACTCCGCAGTTGAGCGAGTCGTCGAATGACAATGACTCGTACTTTGCTGACCCGAATGCCACTCCGCATGTAGGGTTTTCTACCCTGCGCCAAACGGATGAGCAAGGCTACGTTGTCCGACGCTCTGTTCTTGAAGAAGGCACCCGTCCAGAATACATCATTCCGGTGGGTAGTGCCAGTGGCGTGTGGGGCATGATGGGACGGGTAAGACGTTTCCGGGGTGAAGGATGGCTGGCTCTGTGGAAAGGTATTGCACATATCCCGGCTCTCTGCATTTCACCCAACTTTGTCCAGGGCTATTAACCTCCTGCATAACCGAGGTTCTTTCGTCGACCTTTCAACCCATGATTCGCGGTCTCCTGCCAGCTCTTTTTCTCCCAACGAGCGCCATATTCAGCTCCCCCCCGATGTTCCTCCCTGTCGCCTCCCATCTCATCATGGGATTTATTCTCTCCCCACTGGACCTTGTACGGACCCGCCTTATCGTTCAATCCTTCTCCGCCCGCCACTGCAATTACACAGGTCCCTTCGATGCCCTCTCCCGCATCCTCCGTGAGGAGGGCGGGCTCAAAGGCATCTACCTCCACCCCCACCTCCTCATCCCCACCCTCATCGACAGCGCGCTCCCCCCGATCGTCTCCTTCGTCCTCCCCGGGCTGCTCGCGTCGTACATCGGCGCCCAGATAACCAAGGACGCGAACCCCATCGCATGGGGCTTCGCCGAGCTCGCGAGCAGCTGCCTGGGCCTCCTAATCACCCTACCTTTCGAGACCGTCCGCCGGCGGCTCCAGGTCCAGGTGCGCGGGACCGCGAAGCCGATCAAGGGCTGCGTCGAGCTGCGCCCGGCGCCGTACAACGGCGTCGTGGACGCGTTCTGGCACATCCTCACCGAGGAGCGCTCGGACCTGCCCATTCCGCCGCAGAAGCGGAAGCGGCGGCTGAGCAAGGGGAAGGAGCGCGCGGGCGCGGGCGCCGAGGAGCGGCCGGCGCGGGACGGGGAGGAAGAGAGCTGGATGAAGAGCACCGGCATTGGGCAGTTGTATCGGGGGCTTGGGATGCGCCTCAGCGCAACCGTTATTATGCTTGGCCTGGTCATGTTCAGTGGCGGAGACGAGGCGGATGGAGGGTGGGCAGAGTTGTAGTATCCGCTTAACGTCAATAATGAATGAATCCTTCTCACTAACGGCTGGTAGTGAGCCGGGCCGGGCCCGTGCCACATATGCGTTCACAGTGCATTCTCCGGTGTTCCTCCGTGATCTCTTTTAATTTTCAAAGAAGTCGAAGCTCGTTCAAGGCTGTGCTCGGCTATCAGACCTCTCTTCCAGTCCGGGGTCCGACCACAGCTGGCTCGCTGTTCAACGTGCTCATCCAAGAACGAAATGCCTCGAGATAGGACAAAAACTTGAGCGGGGCCTCTTCGAGTTCCTCACCCAGTGTCATGATGACTTACGCGTCACCTAGCAGCATCAAGGCCGGCAGCGCAGCTCGTCGTTAAGGCGCTGCATCTACCGACGCAGAGTCTGTCGTGGCACCGTCTTGGACGCAACCCATTCAATCAGAAGTCCGACCTTGATTCCGGTTGAAGAGAATCGTGTCTGGCGCGCCCTTGGGAGTCAGCTTCAGCAAGGCCATGCGCGGCGCGGCGCGCACTTCCGACGTCCAGCGTGCACTGGGAGAATTGGGGCCCCCAAGACATCGGCTTAGCACACGTTCCCGCCCGTAATATCGTCACCAATTCAAAGGCTGGACCCAGACTGTCGGACAAGTGCGGCTGACAACTGCGCACAAGCTTTAACTGCGTCCCACAACTCTCCATCAACTTCTCCTCCCCCATCCAATTTACGGCTGTTGCGACGCTCTAGCAGCGGTGGTTGATTTCGGCAAGGCAATATAGATAGCGCACAAGTCCATAGCGAGTCGACGACCACGACGGCGACTTTGCTCGGTCCGACAAGCCTTCACACCGATTCCTTGCGAGGACCTTGTGTCCGTTTTTAGATGATACTGAACCCCTCCGCTCCCGATCTTACACTGACATGGAAGGTGATAGCTGTTTTCCGATCTATCGATGCTTTATTGGGATAAGTATAAGGAGGACTTATTCCCGCCTGAGATCACAGTCCTGCTTTCTATTCCACTCTTCACTTCGCCTGCAGGTCAGGCAGGTGAGTTCTATTCACCATTCCGCTGACACTGGAAATTCGAAGATCATGTCAAACTCTAAGGAGTTTGCCGTAATACTATTCCTTGTCATCGCCTCCTTCGCCAGTGTGCCTCTTCCCTGAAAGTACTGGGACATCTAACAACCATTCCTCCAGCTGGGACCCACGGCTCGAGCCCGCCTGTGACGGCGGTTACACTATGGCAGTTTGGACAAAATCGCTTGCTGGGCGGGGCGGTCACAGTGCCGTTGCAGCCGTTGGGAACGGCCAGTGACGGTTCCGCCACCACATATCGCTACGAGGTTGCCAATAACAACGTGGTCGCCTCAACCGACTCAGCCGGAAGCATCACTATCCAGACCACCGCCGTTCCGAGTTTGTTTTCCTTGCATCAAGGCCGCGATGCGCTCTTCTGATTCAGACATGTATAGCTTCCCGGACTATAGTCGCCTCTGCATCAGGATGGGTCGAAGAATTCGGAAACGGCGTTGAGATCGTGTGCGGTTTCGTCGACTCGGAATTTGGGGCATGTCTGGACACTACCGTCAGCGGCAGCGGCTCCACTGCCAACAGCGGTGTGCCAACTCCCGTAGCCCTTCAAGTTGCCTTGGTAGCATCCCCGACAATCGTTCCTCAAACTACAACTCCAACTCAAATTACCTCAAGTAGGTCATCGTCGTTGAAAGTCATGCTCGAGCGGAAATCTGGTCTTACTGCCCCACAGCTCCCGCGCCAAACGAACAACCATTACCTCCTCCCGTAGGACCAATCATCGGCGGTTTAGTCATAGCATTGGTCGCCCTCTTTATAGGTGTGGCATTCGTACTCTACCGGCGACGCCTCCGACGCATCAAGCCCAAGCTCGTATCCATTTCCCCCGCACAAACTCCAGCCAATACTCCCTTCAACGGCGCCTCTGGTATTCCACCCCTCTCTTTCGACGCAGCACCTCAAATAGAAGCAGCCACACTTTGGCCTCGTACTACGAGCTTGGGTCCGTGGAAGAACCTTCGAGGGGAGGTTGAATGGCCACAAGCTGTCGCTGTTCCAGTTCAGTATACCTCGGATGCTGATGCTGGTGATGAGACGACGGATTATGCGACGAGTCCCCAAGGGTCCGAGTCCGTTCAGCCCAGCATGGCTGAAATAGTGGACAGGGTGAGGAGACTCGAGGTGGAATAGACCGGTGACCGTTCTGTCTACGAGATCACAAGTACCGACACTTTGTTCTCGTAGACAGATCGGTTACCGGTCTAGAGGTGGAAGGGTCCCTTCGTAACGACCTGCCGCCGCCGAGTTATGGAGAGAGTGAGAAGGCTTGAAGTTGGAGAAGAGCATCCACTCTTAGAATCTTGTACCAGCGAACGCAGTAGACTAATAGGCGTCCGTAAACGGCCCAGGTCGATGGGAAGGCCGCGGGCGGCAGCGAGGTGGGACGAGGGGCTATGATATCTTTTGAAAAATGGTTCGAAATTTGCTACTTGTGTAGTGTAGTGGTTAACTGTCGAGGTGATTGGACTCGTAACCATTCTGTCTACAGAGCGCAACAAAAATGGCCAGCACTGTTGCCATGGGCAAACAGGTAATTTGTCGCACTCCGTAGGAGTACTGGTACTTCGCTTCGCTTCGTGGAAGAAAGAGTGTTGTCGGGGATACAAGCAAAAGGTCGTGCCCGGGTTCGAACCGGGGTTACGAGAAATCTGATATCACTGCATGGTCACGTGACACGTGTTTCAAAATCTCGAGTGATAACCGCTACACTACACAACCGTTGTACCAATGTGAGAGTACACCGTATTAAAGGAGCTCCTGATTCCGCATCGAATCAGTCGAAGAAGTGCAAAAATCGAATAACAAATGAGCGAGATACGGTGTTTAACAGGGAAGCGCAACGATCAGACTGTTTCATGGATATTTGTGCCAAATCCCACACAAATTAATCAGTCCAAATTGTATTCTGGATCATATTGATATCTACAATTTACCTTTGGGGGCAACATTGAGTAGGTATTCAGAACGAGGCATATCTTCCCGGGACCCTAAATATGCCGCTGCAAATAACGTAGAAGCGCAATGTGATCAATTGTAGTTCTGGGGGTATGCTTTTGGTGGTTTAACCTACATATCTGTAATCAGGGATGCTGAAAACCCCCAATGTAACAAAATCGCAGCAATATAGACCGATTTAGCAAGGGCCATGCAACGTTCTGCCGTGAGATCAGGGAGTGGTGGGAGTGACACTGTCAACTACAAAAGTTTATGTAGTAAGAAATTTGAACTGGAGTGGCGTTATCCAAGTGTTTTCTTAGGTGGTTTGATTTATCAAGTGTTTAGCACACGTAGTATTAGAACCCAAATTTATGTAGCTTAAAGTGTGTAAATTTAGCTCGGGTAGCCCTAAGCGCGATGTGTCAGTTATATCCGACAGCCCTTCTCGCGAGAAGATGGGTATCTTATCAGTCTACGTGGATCAATCTATGTATAACTCACAGACGGGTTTCGTACCCAGGTATTGTCGGTAACTCAGTGGGGCTTCGTGCCAAGTCTGGGCAGGATTACGTAAGATCAGACGGACTTCGTGTCCTTGGTACGGCGTCGGTCGTGGTTTATTCGGTCGGATTCAATGCAATTCAGGGTGGGGGACAATCAATCGTTGATTGGGGACAGAACTTAGGGTTTTTGTTTTGGTGGCAATGATAATCGTTACTGACAGATAAAATTTGAAGGGAAAAAAGTGATTTTCTTGTTTTTAAAACATGGTCCTTATATACTATTCTAAGTTTCCTAATCGAGCGTCTTTCCCACTCCACGGTCGAGTCACTCCGAGTCATATTATTCCTGACTCTTACTTGGCTTCTACGTTTCAACACTGCCTCTCATTTCTGACTCCCTTCTTCTAATGATCCATGTTTTGTTATAGTCTTCTGATGATGGCCTTGGTGTGCCGTTGTTTTATCAACATCAGTATTTGATCGCAATATTACTTGTTATGGTTTTCACTTAACAGGTGCGACAGATGAGACGGCGGCGGCTCGGGATCTTGAGTTGAGACAATGGCTTGTCTTTCGGGTTGTGTTGAGTGTAGATTCCTGTGCTGATAACTGGTTCGCAGCTGTGGCCGAGCAATGCCGGACATGCCGACCGGCGCCGATGCTCGGATCAGTGATGGTGTGATCCGGCCGATTGATCCGGCCGAGCGGCCAAACTGCCGCCAACATTTTTATTAGCACTTCACGTATTTGTCCTGTTCTGCCTCCCAACCGGTTGGGAGGCTGACAACACAGGAAAGGGGAGCTTTTGCAGAGCATAGGCAAGATCCATCCAGTACCCTTGCTGGCCTTTCAAGAAGAGATCGTAGGAGTTGTGCAGCGCACTGTGAGCATAGTGGGTTTCAGCCAGCTTAACAAGATATCCTAAATAGCGCAGAGCAAGGATCAGGCGCTGGTAGCGTAGCGGGATCAACCCGAGCTCAGTGGATAGCGGCGTGCGCATAGAATATTGTCCCAGGCCTAGTAGCCACCATAGAAAAGCGTGTTGCACCTTCTCCAGGAGCAAGAGGGCCATATCGTCAATGTCGGTGATAACATCAGCCCCACTCACAAGATGAGGGTCAATGCATGCACTATAGAGCAGCCGGCCTTCTTTGGGAGGGAGGTCACGGACATAGGCTTCAACACCCAGTACTGTGTGCCCCGTTTTGCGTGCTGTGGACGCCTTAGCCGAATAGTGGGAGGTGAATATATTCCGGTGTGTTGACTGGAAAGTGATACCAATGTAGCAGAAACAGTGGGTGTAGCCCACCGCCCGGTGATTAATAGTGAAGATAGGAAGGTTGCCCAGGATCGGCCCAAAGACCACGACCCATGATTTTTTAGTGTTCACCTCGAGTAGATTATTCCCACACCAGCATGCAAATGTAGTGAGGTGCCGTTGCAAACCCTCAGCTGAGTAAGACACAATGGCCATGTCATCAGCATGCTCCAGGTGAGACATAACCACATTTAGCAGCAGGACATCATCATGGTCCGGGTTCAACTTGAAGTCTGCAAAGAACAGATCCCAAAAAGTTGGTGATGCAGGGTCCCCGATTAGCACCCCAATATTGGAGGTGAACGGCTTTGACTGAGCCCCATCCATGGTAACGACATACTCCATCCGATTGTAAAGCATCCGCATCCAGTCAAAAAGCTTCCCGGATATCCCCATCTCGTACAGCTTTACCCATAGCAGGTCCCGGTTCGTGGATGGGAAAGCATTTGTAATATCCAAGAAAGCAATCCACAAGGTACGACCCTCCGCTCGGGCTCTCTCAATCATGCAACGCAACATGAACCCATTGTTGTTGGTACGATACCCTTCCCTAAAGCCATTCTGCAAGGGCAGAATAATACCATGCTCCTCTGCCCACATATATATACACTTGTGGATGAGCAGACATATCAGCTTCAAGAAGCAGCTCTCCAGGCCAATAGTACGATAGCTATTCGGGTCCGACAATGGTTTATCCTTCTTCGGAATTGCAGCAATAAGAGTTGTGAGCCAGATAGCAGGTGCATCGTTTCGCTCAATGCATTCATTGATAAGTTTACAGAGCTTGTCATTCTCAATATCTAGTATCTTGCGGTAGTGCAGATGATCCACACCCCCCGCCGTTTTGTAGTGGTCTTCAAGATGATTTTTTGCCCAGGCTAAATCCTCCTCGGCCAATTTCCCATGGAGCAGTGGGTCATTGGCATCTGGTTTCTGAGAGCGAATAGGTATATTCGCTGCGTACTCCTCGACCACCCGCATATGGTCCAAATTAAACTCCGGAGGAGGAGCAGCAGGGGCATTCATACACTTCTCAAAGACCCCCGCGAGATCTGAGAGAGAGACAGCTGGGGCCCTACTTTTCGGGTCGGCCATGCTCCGATAGACTTTCCAGAATGCAGCCGAGTTAGACGATGCATCCGTTAAGCGCTTCAAGTTCGCCTTCTGCAGGGCCCAATGAGCAAGATGTCCACAATGTGCAGAGGAGCTGTAAGGATCCGAGAGCTTGGGTATGCCTGGCAACTTTTGCTGCACAGGGAGAGGAGCAGCCGCCGACTCAGGAATGGAGCAGAAAATCTTAGGTACGTTGGTAGGCATCTCAAAGCCCAACAGAAGTTCTGGTGCTGGGCATGGTACATAGACGGTGCTTGGTAACGGCAGATCTGCACCTAGTTTTGCTGCCAAGTCAGCCGCCTCGTTGTGTTGATTCCCAGCATGAGCTTTCACATGAAAGAAGTGAACCGGTGCAACACGGTATTTTATCCACGACACTATATCCTTTAATAGATCGGTGTTGGCACAATTCCAGCCTGCCTCTGCATGGCCAGGCGCCCAGTAGAAAATAGAACAAATAGCATACTCCGAGTCGGAGTAGATGTCAAGACGCTTGTAGTAAGGTACTGTAGATAGGCAATAAAGTATCGCCAGGAGCTCGCCCCAATTATTAGTTTGGTCCCCTGTGACGCGAAGCGACACATTGTCGGGATTATCCAGCCCAAAGTAGACACCTGCTCCAGCGCGAGCATCGGCGGCACCATTCTCGAAGCACGAACCATCCGTGTACACCTTTAGTCCACTTGTGTCCGGCCTGTATACTGGTCCGAAGAATTGAGCTCGCTTCTCCTCTGGAGAGAGCTTTGACTCGAGGGTCTGTCGCAGGAGTACATCAAGGTACATGTTGCTGTCCTGCGCCTCTTGCCTTTTATCCTTGAGGTAGGTTTCCCCAGGATTAGATATAGCGGGGGTATCCGGGATGCACATTTTAAGGATAAGAGGTGCATGGTCAGACCATATATTAACTGCGCAGACCTCAAAGTTTTCGACCATGGCACATGCCTGCATATCACAGATAGCGTAGTCGACAACCGACTGGCAGAACCGACCACGCCGCAGTTGAGAGAAAGTCCAGCCCCATGAGCCGTCCCCAAAGCACGAGTCCCCGTTTAGTATTCGAAGGTCCTGGTCTGCTGCAAGTTGTAGAATGGCACGGCCCTGTGCATTAACCATTGCATCGAGGGAAAACCGGGGCGGGTGATTAACTTTAGAGGCTCGTCGAGTCCCGGTCCGACCGTTCAAGTCGCCAATGATGCACACAGCATCTCCCCGAAGACGCGCTATAGCTACAGATTGAGCCAGTTTCTCAAGCGGGTGAATGGGGACCAACGATCCTACGGAGAGTTGTGCAGCAATACATAGGCGTTGAAGAGACACAGTGCACCAATTTTTAGTACCAGTAAGTCCGGTCCGCACAGCACCTCGTCCAGAACGGCTTTCAAGTCAGACCGAACAATTGCCGCGACACCACCCCACTGCTTCTCAAAGGTCGGTGAGGGCTCACGCGCCACAGCAAATATCTCATATCCGGGCGGAATGGGGACTGTGAGCTCTTGGCTAGGAACCCAGTGAGTCTCCGAAAAGTAGTTGACATCGTATTTTTCCAGTTCGGCAGCATAAGAGGGATGAGCGGGTTCACGGCCAGTCGTCCGTCTGTGTTCCAGCTCCTGATAGTAATATTTCGACTATTAGAATTTAAAGAAGTGGTATTAGATTGTGTCTCTCTGCGGAGACAATGGAGACGATACAAATGTATCACCTCGCTTGCTTACGCCACAATATTGTTAAAACCAGCCAAAATTCTGGTTCTCCTCCACTATCTGTGCAAGTACGTGCTTCGTTCGGAATCGGAAGGTGTACAAAACAGTTCCTAGTGGTCCTCCACGCTTCTATTGTATGCTACAAAT